TGTGGATTTGTATGGAACTGAGATTATAGTAGACTTGAGTCAAGAATGAGTCTTAGCTGCACATGGTGGCATAGACCTGTTAATCCCAGCAATCTGGGCTGGAGATATAGCTCAGTGGCACAAGTGCCTGCCTGGCAAGTGCAAGGTCCTGAGTTTGATTCTCGGTACAAAAAAAAAAAAAAATCCTCACACTCTGGGAGGCTGAGGCAGAAGGATTGCAAACTCTAGCCCAGCCTGGGCAATATATCGACTTAGTGTTTCAAAATAAAAAATGTTTTTAAAAAAGGGTTGGGGGAGGCAGCTTAGTATGAAGGCCCAGAGTTCAATCCTCAGTAAGGGGCATTTGTGTGGAAGAGGGGGAATGTTTTTATAAATGTTAACATAAGATCTTTATAGAATTCTTTCTTGAATGATACTTATATAAAATATTTCAAACTAACTAGGTCATATCTGCTCAAACTGACTGACTGATCCTGACATTTGTTCCCTAAAATTATTTTTAAAAAAGATCAAAAGCTAGAGTACATATCTCTTTACAAAGCCCAGAAAGGTAGTAATTGGGAAAAGCAAGCAATTTTGAGTGGCTGAGATTTTTAAAAATCATTTTCTTATAGATCTTTCTATTCTTTGTCAGGAGTGGTGGTGCATGCCTGTAATCCCAGCACTTAAGAGGCTGAGGCAGAAGGGTCACTGTGAGTTTGAAGCCAGCTTGGGTTACATAGTCACACTTTGTCTCAAAAAAATAAAGAAAGAATAATAATAATAAAGTAAAAATAAATAACTCTTTGTACTCTTCAAAGAATGTAATAGAATACATACAAAGGAAAGCTTAAAGATCAGCCCTGTTATTTTAAAAGATGTATTAATATTTCATAATGATATTTCCTTACTTTAAACATTAAAAGTAGAGGGGCTGGGGATTTAGCTCAGCGGCAAAAGCGACTGCCTGGCAAGCGCAAGGTCGTGAGTTCGGTTCCCGGTACCGGAGAAAAACTAAAAAAAAAAAAAAAAAACATTAAAAGTAGAGTCGGGCGTGGTGGCACACACTTGTAATCCCAGCACTCAGGAGGCTGAGGCAGGAGGATCGTTGTGAGTTCAAGACCAGCCTGGGCTACAAAGTGAGCTCAAGGCCAGCCTGAACTATATAGTGACACCCTGTCTCAAAAAGACAAAAAGATAAACATTAAAAATAGAAATAACACAAATGGAAAAAATAATTATGATGTTGAAAAAAAGAAATTGTACCACCTGCATTGTAGATTCTCACTAATCATTGTCTGATTTTCTTGGAACTCAACAGGCCCTTTAAAGTTGTTCAATCATCAGTAGACCTTTACTGAACTCCTAAAATGTAGAAAAAAATTTACTAAGCACAGAGAGTATATTATATTATACTATTATATAATATGTATATATGGTATACACTTTATATAGTACAGTATACAATATAGTAGATATATTGAAGAAGCCTTGTCCTTAAGGAGCTCACAATTTGCTGACCATTAAAAACCAAATTTAATATCATATGTACTCAGATCAAAGTAATACAGTCAAGGAATATTTCATATAAATCTGGGATAGGCTCTACAGAATACTTTGCTTTAGAAATATTGCAAAGACTAAACATGAAAATAAATGTAAAAGTGACTTGAAAAGCTTAAATCACTGTAAACATAAACAGATGTCCATAATTTTCCAAATATAATGATACATCCCTTACTTTTCTACTGTAAATTTTTGTATTTTAGCTTTATAGTATTTTCACTTTATAGTAGCCAACTGTGCATCTCCGTACCTTTCCCTGGGGGATACAGGAAGCAATCTATGGATTTATCATACCACTTAGTATGACAAACAGCAAGGAGTATGCACATGTCTAAAATTGTCAAAACAGAATTTGGACCCACGTTTATGCTCCATCTGGTTTTGCATATGTTCACCCAAGCATCACAGAGGGTCCAATAGACCCACACCACTCCAGGACTTGTTTAAAAAAAAGTTTTCTTTTGATTTTTCTGGTAAAAGTAGCCTAATTCAGTACAATGGCACATGAAAAACCAGATTTGCAAGTTTTGGAGGGGGTCAAAAGTTAATTACCAGATAACTCATGCATGGGTGATGAAGATGATCCATCATGATAAAATACATGCTTTCATTACAGAAGAGTGTTGTGGGTGAATGATGATGATGATGATGATGACTTTGACAAGTGGCTATGTGAACCAAAGTTTCTTGCTCCAGTGAAATGGAGCAAGAATTGACTGATACAGACACAGGGAATGCAGACCTCCTTGATTCAGACGACACAGAAAACAGCAGTGTGAGTACATAATTTGACTAGTTGAAATGTTGTGAAATGGCCACACAACCAGATCCACTGTTAGAACTAGTTCCAAAATCTAGTGAAGGTCTTGGCAGGGATGAAATGTGTTGGACAGAATGCCAGCACTGCCATTCAGTGCTGGAAATTGAAACAGATGAAATGCTACAAGATGTTGTGAAATACACAAAGGCTGAAATGCAAGTAAAATGTTCTGTATGCACCAATAGCCATGTTCAAAAATGTATTTATCATGACACCTCACTTGCTGAACTGAAAGCATTCATAGATCGCTGTACTTAGCACAGATTTCTCATGGTGATCACAGAAGTGTAAAAGATTTATGGAAAAGCAATGGGCCAATATATGGGATAAAATTTACACCCTTGTAGATGCGAAGATTTATTATTCTTTCAATTTAGACATTTATCCTGGAACTCAGCCACCAGATACTTACTCATTTAGTAATAAACTGAGTGATGTTGTGAACAGAATTGTTGCTCCCAACTCCCAAACTAATCAGAACGTGACATTCAACAACCGGTTTACCAGTGTACAATTGATGTTACATTTGCTAACAGAGCACAGTTGAACTTCAACAGAGCACAGGAACAAAGCAGAAACGCCAAATGAAATGTTGCAATTTCAAAATAGAATTGTATAGTACAATCTTTGAATTTCAGAAAGATATAACATTGGCCTCATATATGGCAGAGAAAAACAAACTGGTACTACTGATGTCAACATTTCACCATGATGAAAATATTGATAGGGCAACCTCAACAAAATGGAAGCTTGAGATGGAAACTTACAACAACAAAATCAAATGTGGAGTAGATATTGCTGACGAGTTATGCAGCAACTATGATGTCACTTGAAACACAAAGCATTGGCCAATGGTTATGTTTTACTTAGTCCTAAACATGCATGGCATAAATAGTTTGATAGTTTACAGAGAAAATAACAAGTGCAAAATATTACAGAGAAATTTTCTTAGAGGATTGGGGCTGGAGCTCATAAGAGATCATTTACAGCAAAGGAAAAACAAAATGTTTCTTCCCAGGGACCTATGCAAAAAAAAAACCCCCGTGGAGCACACTGGTGAGCTGACAGGTGAACAGGCAGGCACAGCATCACCAAGGCCTACTATGATAACAAGAAAACAAAAAAGATGTCAACTGTGCCCTATGTGAAAGTACAGGAAAACAAAACATACATACTATCAGTGTAAGTGATACTTGTGTATGGAACTTGCAGTTGTCACGTGTGAAGACTGCTTTAGGTGTGACAGTTGAAGCAAAGCTTATTTCTGTGATAGGCTTTTGTTTGTGGTTATATTGTAGTTCACACAGGTTCTTTTTGATGTTATCTTTTAGGTTTTGTAAGCAAGTAAATAGATGATGTCAAAATGTTGATGTCTATTCTAAGCCCTCATTACATATTTGATATTGTATTTTATTGACATCTTATTTCCCTGCTAAGTGAATGTTGTACACTCTAGTAGGAAGCTCCTGACAAAACAGGAAGAGAAGTGACAGGACTTCCACATATGAACAGAAAGTTAAGCACACATGCGGTCAGTGTGAGATGTGTATGGAACATGCAGTTGTCATGTGTGAAGACTGCCTTTGGTGTCACAGTTGAAGCAAAGCTTATTTAGAGTTCTACTGCTACTTTCACTGTAGTTCACATAGGAATTTATCTTTTATGTTATCTTTTAGGTTTTGTAAGGAACTACACAGCTGATGTGAAAATGTTGATGTCTATGCTAAACGCACAATACATATTAAGAATGTAATGATTTTTATCAATATTTTATGTTCATGTTAACTACATACTGTATAATATAATAAGAACTTCTTAACAAAACAAAGACCACTGAGCAGTCAAGCATGTCCTACGAAAAGGCCAGGAAAAGAAGACATGTGCTGTCAGTATAAGCGATACAGGTGCATGGAATGTCTTCTTGTCATGTGTGTAGACTGTCTTAGGTGCGAGAAGTAAATAGTTTTTGTAGCATGATATTGGTATTTTTATTGCATTTCATATGGGAATTTATTTCTGATGTTCTTTTTTAGATTTGTGTACCAAAAACCAGTCAATGTTGAAAATTGTGTGGGTGATCCACTTTCTGGGACCCCTTCTGTCCCTCTCAGGCAGAAGGTTTCTTTCTCTCAATAAATTCTTCCTACTCCTAAAAACAAAAAGAAAATTTTGATGCTTTTTTATAAGCACTCAATAAATACTAAAACCTCAATACTTTATTTTTGTGAAATTTTTTCCTGTTAAGTACTCATTGTTTAATATAATAAAACTCAGAAAATTCTAATTAATAAAAAATTATAATTAATAATTCATCAATAGAAATAGTCTAAAGAATAAACTTGGTTATATGCCCTGATAATAAAATGAGTCTTATGCTGCAATGGCTACATTATGGTACAACTTCACAGCAGAATCAAATACTGCAGCCAGAAGGAAATCTAGAAATGATCTAAACCAACCCTTTCATTCTACATGCTAGAAAACTGGGGTTCCAAGACAAAGGAACTAACAGAAGAATATCTAATTTGTTAATGGCAAAATTAGATCTCTTTTTTCACATGAGTATATGGCTTGATACCAAGTCATAGTGCTTACATCCTTCTAGGCCACAAACATTGTGAAAGAAATACCGTATATTGTCTTTTCACACAGATAGTTTTATGAAGAGATGTCCATTTGGAAGTTTCAAGGTATTTGTTCACTGGGTTAGCATTTTTTGGGATGACCACTATCTACAAAAAGATAACCACAGCTTTTCTCCTTTTTTGACCAAGACTTTGAGTATAAGAAAATAGCAATGAACAGCAACTGGCAACTATAGCTTCAGATCAAAGAACAACTTCCCATGGGTACAGTGCAGACACCACTATTGGTTGTAAAATGTCAGGAAGGGCCATTGATAACATAATTTTAGAAACAGGATATCAGTATAGATTAGTTACATCATAGGAGTCCGATCATCCAAGCCCTCTTGTGTCAAAATCATAGATAGATGTTTGGAGGTTAAATAGCAATTTTTAAAAAATCTCCAAGATTTACTTTTCACAGCTGGATTTTTCTAGCAGTGACTATAACAGAGTAACATTTCTTCTCTGCTACTTTCTTGGTAGTCCATTGAAAACTGTATCCACAGGAAATGATTCCCTTGGTTCAGTTATACAATAAAGTTCGCCAAATGTTTGAGCTATCGCGTAACTGCAGTTCAGCTCTAGAAAATGAGGCGTCCTTGTAGTAGAAACATAGGCTTTGGGAGACAGACAACCTAGATAGAGCCTATTTTGTGTTCTGCCACCAAACCGAATTTTAGGCGTCAGTTAATCCTGGGTATCAGATGTTTTTCACCTACTTTGAGGGCTTAGATGCACCGCGTTGCACTAGAGTATGATGACAGATCGGGACATTTGGGAGGTTATTTCACCAAATGTTCACATTCATGGGGGCGGGGGGCGTGTTAAACCGTGCGTTCCGTCTGCCTCCAGCCAGAGCTAACAGGGGCTGCGAGACCACTGCCTGTCAATCTACCGGGAAACCAGGAACCCGGCACTGCGGGATTTCGGGCAGGGCTCCTCCCGCTCCAAACTAAACTTATTTTGCCCACCGCGACAGGACCTAAGGAAATCACGGGGTCGAAGGGGCCAAACCCGCACTTCTGGAAAGAGTGCCCACGAGGTGCCTTCGTGGGGTTGAGAGGTACATTCCTAGTCAGTAAGCATCGGCTCGATTCGCAGTCAGGATTTTAAGATCGGGGGTGGTCGATTTATTTCTCCGATGGCAACTGTTTTCACAAAACGCGCCAGACGGACGGCAAAGAGCGCCTTTTCTTTCAGACTGCCCTACAAAAGGCCACGAGCCACCGCACAGAAACTGAGCATTATTTTTAGGTCAAATATTTGTCTCGGAGGGACCAAAGCCGGTCAAGCAGAGAGGAGAAGCGAGCCTCGCCCCTAAGCCCTAATATGCTCCAGGGCGGGGCGCCGAGCTGAGCGGAGGAGGGAACTATATTTCCCGCGGAGGGGCACACAGCAGTGGCCACACACGCCCCAAAACGCGCTGTGTGCTGGTTGCTTAGTTGGCGCGGCCGAGGCTTCTTTCCGCGTTCGTTTTTTGACAAGGAAGCTCTGATAGGCCAGAGAGACCCTGCAGTGGTTGGCCGGAAAGAGTCGAGCCGCCTGATTGGTCGCGCTGCACCTGCAATGCGTCAAACCGCGGCGAGCGAGGAGGGCTCCGCGTGAACGGTCGTGGCTGGCGGGGGAGCCCGCGGCCAGCCGGAGGGAGCGGCTACTCCTAGGGCCGCCATCTTTACTAGTGGCAGCGCAGACCGCCGCAGACACGGGGGAGCTTTAAGCCTCTGCGACAGAAGTTTTGTTTGGGGTTTCTTTTTCTTTTGCGGTGGGTTGTTTCTTCTCAGGTTCCAGGGAAGTGGATGGAGCGGGTAGAGAGCGAGGACTCGGGGCGCGGCGCTCTGGGTAGTGGCCACTCAGGAAGGACGGGTCTGACGAGGGATTTAGCTACCGTTCTAATAAAACCGCTTGGTTTGCGTTCTGTCCATGGGGTGGGGGTGAGGGTGAGATTTGATTCGGTTTCCACGGGCAGAAGTGAGATTGCTCCCTGGGCGTCTTGCTCAAGCCAGGGCCGTTCTGGAAAGCTCTCCCGAATACGTCATGATTCTTGCTCACGCTGTGCGCGGTCCCACCTGCACGGAACGCGTTTTGTTTTTTAGAACTGTAAATCAAACAGCCGTGCTGGAAACGACTTCTGGGCTCCAGAGGCAGTGGGCTGCAGGGGCAAAACTGAGCTTGCCTGACGGACCTGCTACAAGATGTTAGGAAATCATTTTTATCATATTGGCTCATTTGCCTTTTTAAGGAAAATGTTACATTGGTGTGGGCATGCGGTTTCCTTTCATCTCCGATGTCCACCCGTACACGAAAGTGAAAGAAAACCCTTTCAGTTTCAAAGAGCGGTGGTTGTTCTGGACTCACCTTCCTTTCCAGGGATATGGGTGAAAGACCTCAAGATCATGTTCGCTGGATAAGAGGCTGGGGACGTGGGAAAGGTCGTAGTTGTCTTGATTTAGCTTGTGGTGATGTGTTTGTTGGTTTTATTTCAGTTGCGTAGGTGCAAATTCGGTGGATTGTGGATATTCAAAGGTGAATTTTGGAACTGCCTTGGTGTAGGTGTTGCCATGGTTACAAGGAAAGATAGTCAGTGAATTGTGCAGCCCATAAACACGGCTTCTCCGGTGTATTAAATCTTAATACTAATTGACTGCCCTGGTTTGTGTGTCCAACCTTTCTCGTTTCCCAGCTACTTCAGGCTTCCTAGATTGATCAATACAGGCACACATGGGTGTGTCCATTTCTGTTAACTGAGTAATACACTCATTACCATGTGTAGGTTTTCTGATCAGATGATGTATCGAGTAGTCTAGTTTTGCACCAGTTACCATATATTTTTGATTTGCGAGTTATTGCTGCTCTTACCAAATCTTACCAGTCTAGGAATATTTAATTGTTGGCTTGTATGCTTTTTTTTTTAATATAGGTAAATCCATCACTTTACCTTAGGGTGTCTCCTACCTAAAACAAACTCTCCATTTTATTATGTAACAATATAATGTCAGAGCGCTGAGTTCACGGGACATTGCTGAAGAAAGAAACTTGCAGCTTTGCATAATCTCCATATAGCAGCAACCAATCCTGCCTCTAGAACACACAGTACAGTATTTTAGTGTTTGGCAGCTGCAGTGGCAGGAGTCTGCCACTTGCTTTCTGTGAGGCAGAGCAGAAGAGAATCAAATCTATCTCGGAGTTGTGAGGATTGCGTGATATGCAAATGTATCAGCATTGTGTAAATTGTAGAATTATCTATCTATATATATGAGATGCAGTTACTAATACATTGATTGCCCATATTGTCTGACCGTGTGAGAAGATGATTTTTCTTTTCTTTCTTTTTTTTTTTTTGTCTTTTTGAGACAGCGTCTCACTGTGCAGTTCAGGCTGGCCTTGAGCTCACTTTATAGCCCAGGCTGGTCTGGAACTCGCAAGGATCCTCCTGCCTCAGCCTCTCAAGTGCTGGGATTACAGGCATGCGCCAACACGTGCAGCCAGAGGACGATTTTTCTTTCAAGAGTTTTTTTTTTTTTTTTGGTACTGAGAATGAGACTTTAGTTTGCCAGGCAGGCACTGTGCTGCTGAGCTATATCTCTGGCTCCTCCTTTAAGATTTTCTACCTTATGGGAAGAACAAATAAACACACTCAGATCCAAAATAAATCTTTAATAGCATTTTTTTTTCTTAATTAGATAGTATATGCCTATTAACATGTAGTGTCAGATTTGAGGGGTTCTTAAGATGATTGGCTCATAAGTTTGTCCTGGACTTTCCTGGTTTTAGGATTGTGCCCTGGAAAGCCCCTCTGTCTCAGGTACACCAGGACAGTGGATCACCTTTAGACTATTGTCAGTGTCAAAAGATGGACAGATGAGCAGAATGGAAAGTGGGGACTCCTACTATGTGGAGATGATTTGGGGTCCTTGTAGCTAGAGTCTACTAGGCACAAGAAAATGGAAGTCTTTCTCTAAGCATGGACAGACACCTGAAACTCAGCACAGTGAACGTCAAACCGATAACTTTATCTGTATTACTATTGTTATTGTTGTAGTACTGAGGATTGAGCCCAAGGCCTTGCACATGCTAAGCATGCACTTTACCACTGAGCTACATCCTCAATGTTTCTCCTACCCTCTTGTTTTTGTTTTTTATTTTATTTTATTTTGTTTCATTTTTGAGACAGGGTCTTGCTATGTAGATGGCCTTGAACTCACTATGTGGTCTAGGTTGGCCTTGAACTCAGTGATCCTCCTTCAGCCACCCAAGTGCTGGTATTACAGGTATGTGCACCACATCCAGCCCCCTACCCCCTTTTTAAATTTTATTTTGAGACAAGGTCTTGCTAAGTTGCCCAGACTGGCCCGGAAGTTCCAGTCCTCCTGCCTCTGCTTCCTGAGTATTTTCGACTCTAGGTATGTGTCACTATCCTCAGCTGACTTTACCCATCCTTACTGCTTCTCTGTCTCAGTCCCCACACATAGTTTTGATTTGTAACATCTTAAAATTTTCCTGTTACAATCTTTGTTCCTGGTAAAGGTTTTACCAAATTTTATTCACTTTAGGACACAAAAGCCCCTTTTATGCCATCGGCTTCTTTGCCAGTCTAACGCTGTGGTTTGCTTCCTGTAGTTGTCATGGATGGCTGGGTCCTTTTCACTTAGAGGTCAGTGGAAGTAAAGATGCCCCATTTTTTTGTCCATGTCCATGGGCTCCCTAAATTCTGTCCATGAAAGCCCTTGCTCCCTGCCTTGCCCCATTGCGGTTTTCCTTCCACTTTGTTCTGTTTTACATTTTTTTCACCTTTATAGTCTCACTATCTATAGTTCAGTATATCATTGCTGTTTTCCTTACTATTACAAAACCTTTCATTGGTTTTTGTTTCAATCTGTCCCTGCTCCTGTAGCAAATACCACAGACTAGGTAATTTGCAAATGCAAATTATTTCTCATGGTTCTGGTGGCTGGGAAGTCCAAGATCAAAGCACCAGTAGATGTAGCATCTGGTGAAGGCTCACTGTCTGCTTCCAGGATTGCGCCTTGTGTTCACACGTGCAGGAAGTGGAAGGGCAGAAGGGGAAGGATGCTGTGTCCTTACACACCCTCCTCTGGTCATATGGGCCTATGTGTGAATGTAATGGAATGGGTACATTGCTGTGTGATAGCAAGCAGGCACACCATAGCCAAAGTACTCCCATACACAGAGGAGATGAAACAGCCACACAGCTCTCTGAAACCTCTTATAAGGGCCTCAGTCCCCTTCATGCGGTCATGGCCCTAATGAGTAATCATTCCCAAAAGGCCCCATCACTTTGGGGTTTGCGTTCCAACAAGAATTTTGGAAGGACATACGCATTCAAACCATAGTAGTTTCCCAATTGTAGTTCCATTTTACATGCGCAGCCGATGAGTAATTTTTGTTAAACACATCAAGAGACCCTGGTTCAATCCCTCACCCTGCAAATAAATGAATAAATAAATCACATCTGAGTATATTATTTCCCTTTTCAAAAATCTCAGTAGTTTCTCATGTTTTTTTTAGAATTAAGTACATGCTCCTTTAGGAATTCCTTCAGGGCCTGACATAGCCTGGCCTTTTCAGCTCAACTAATCTACTGTCCTTTGCATTTCCTAAATTTCAGCGTGATTTTACTTTATTTTATTCTTTTTTTTTTTTTTTTTGTCTTTTTTTTGAGACAGGGTCTCGCTATGCAGTTCAGGCTGGACTTCAACTTACTTTGTAGCCCAGGCTGGTCTCGAACTCGCAAGGATTCTCCTGCCTCAGCTTCCTGAGTGCTGGGATTACAGGTGTGCACCACCATGCCCAGCCTCAGCATGATTTTAAATCTTTGTGCTTTCGCCCCTCCGTCGTTTATTCATGTTGGTTCCTTGGTCTAGACTTTTGATTGTAGTTTGCCCAGCCCTGAGTTCTAGTGTGCCCTTAAAAGGTTTACTGCAAATGCAAAGTCAGGTAAAATAAATTCTTCCTTGGGGTCTCTTAGCACTTATTTCACTCTTTTCTTTTACCACATCTTACTTTTATTGTAGGTATTTGATTACTCATCCAATAAATAGGATCATTGAGAGTGTGGACCTGGATTTAGGAAGAGCCTTGCAGATGCAAAATGAAACAACTTGGACCTTGGTTATGAAAGGCCTTACGTTTTAGGGTCGGGGAAAATGTGAACCTATGTCAACGTTTTTCAAGGTAGAAGGAAATAACAGTATTTCAAGAGTCCAGAGAGGGAATTCACTCTGCTGGAGGGATCAGAGAAAGCTTTGTGGAGGAGGTGGCACCCAAGCCAGCTTGGAGGATCAGCACCCTATATGGATGTACCCAGGGAAGGCATTCCACATGGAGGGGTCACTGGGAACGCAGGCAAAGAGCCTGAGAAGAACAGAGCGTGTCCGGGAAGGGGAGGAAGCTTATTAAGGGGCATCCTGAGAGAGCAGGCTGGCCTTAGGTTGGTTGAAGCTAGCTACTGAGGGCCACACTTGCCAGTACCTGGAATTCTTTGGAAATTTTTTAGAAGAAACTGACAAAATCAAAGATGACAAGAATGTGGTATGGAAGTATGAGATGAACTTTCACGATGACTATAGACAAACTGATGAAGATAGTAACACTGGGAACAATGGCAAATATTTATTGAATGCTTGCAGTTTGCCATGCATTATCTTTACTTGCAAGGTGCTGCTTACTGCTTACTAAACTCCTGTTAGCTTCTTTTTACAAGTAAGAAAATTTAGGCTTAGGATAAGCAAAATGTCCAGATTC